TTTAGTAGTTCTTGAAACTGATCTATTGGACAAAAGTGATCGCATCCGGGAACTATCAACTTTGCGGGAGGTTCCCCATTGTGAGTCTCGTAAAATAACTGAAACATCACGAGTTAAACCTATTACAGCTTGTCAAAGTAAATATTTTACTTTAAATCCGTATTGCTCATCTATTTTATGTAATTCCAAAATTACACACGCGCCGTACGGAGGAATATGCCGATAGAAAGCGTTTAATGAATTCAACATTCCAGCCACGTTTATCTCATGAGCTGAAAATAACATAATTTTTCGATCCGGTGGGTTGAGTGTACCGTCGATTTTTTGTTTGGCGGCGTCTAGAATTGTTTTCAGATTGAACCCTGAAAGCATAGAACAATGAAGTTAGTTCACTTCTATTAATATTATTTTACCTCCTAGTTTATTTATTTCCGGCGTTCGACTCCATAAAACATACAGATCAATGGCACCCTCTTTGAGCAGCTCTGGGTACACAGGTTTTACCCATTCGGGAAGCTTCAATCCCCACTCTTCCTGGTGTATATAATTAGAAGGAAGTTTTTACAACTCCACTTACCTGGACTGAGAGTCCAAAATATAGAATGTACAGATCTGTCAACCCCCGTACGTGTAAGCCGGTATTCTTACTGATATAATTAAACCATTTTTTGTATGGGCGCAGATCTAATTGGCCTTCTGGTGAATTCTCGTAGTCTGCTACTAAATGCGATCGCTTTGAGCACTTCGTAGGGAATCCCATACGCTAAGCAATATGAAAATACATTTTGTCCATTACAATTAGCATTGCAAATTGAGTTATACGTAAAACTCACATGTACAAATTTTAATTTGAAATTGTCAATAAATTCAAAAATAGTTACTTTGTCTGTTGCACTTACATTATCGGTACCGGTTAAGTAATTGTAAGGGATAGGTTGCCAGTTCAGTTCTTTATTCCAGTCTAAGGGACTTTCAGGTGGAAACAGTCCCGCTAGAACAAGTTCCAGTGACATCTTAGTTCTGTTGTAGTTGGTAGACAGTGCGTCTACAACTTCTGGTGTGTACATCCCCAAAAATTCGCCGTATCTTGCATGCAACATTTTTCCGAGATTGTACTCTCGCATTTTACCTTCCTATAAACATTCCCATTACCAGGTATTAAAATAGGAATATTTACGTTTGTCAATTGACCCCATCCATACGGTGCGTAATCGAAGTTTTTGTGCGGATCTTTTGGGTACGCAGTAAGAATTTCGTTAGCTCTGTGTCCATGGCGAAACACCTAAAATGCTTTCTGTAATAAATATTCATATATTCGTAGTTTATTTTTACCGTAAAAACCATTTGCAAGGTATCACCCTCCAAGGTGAAGGTTTCTCGAGTCAATATTGCTAATATTAGACCTAAGCTCAGCATGACTGCTACTTTTTCCATTTGTGCCTCACTGAAAATTTAGCGGCTCGGCGAATTCATCCTTTTATACGAAAACGTCGCGGACGGATAACTCCCACACTTCCAATCAATTTATCACGGTAAATCAAGAAAACAATCTAATGTTAATTGGTTTAGTGCGATAATGATTTAGCGACCGCACACCACATACAATAATAATTGCTCTCAAGGAGCAAAAATGCGTTTGGGTTTTTAATAGTAAACAAAATTTACCTTTTAGTTCTCCAATGTGTAAAAACAAAAAACCCGGCTGTTAATTGCAGGAAAAATGGAAAATATGTTTCTGTTTTATGGTAGGTATGACATCAATAGAATATTTATGCCACCAAACATTGTGCTGCATGAGTGCAGCTAGGTACCTATATTTATGGAATGCCTTGGTCAACTTATTGTATTTACATAGTAACAATTTTGCAACTGTGTATTCAATAGTCTGTCTTTCAACAGTACTGATGCAAGTTGCAAGCATCTAGTTGTGTCACACGAGCACTTGACCTGGTTTTGTCGAGCAAAATATGTCATAAGTGATGATAGCGCTTTAGGTAAAAAATATTTGAACTTTACCAAAAACCGCGTGTAAATCTTCAGTCTATTTTGCATCGACGCATTCTGCTATGAAAGCATACGTATCAGCGACGTTTTGAGTGAAATCTGGGACGTCTTTCAGTTATCTGTCTTAATTTTTTTTCAAAAGCAATAGAGCTTTTTGATTTGAACTATTGTTCTCGGCATTGGGGAAAAGAACCAGGCTAACCTAATCGCCAGGGGGGGAAGGCTCAGTTATGGGTTTTCCTCTCTAAAGGTGAGAGTTAGTAACCCTGCCGAAGTACGTCAGTACAACCACCACAACAACACCAGCAGCTATATTGTCTACATACATAAGTATGACGGAAAATGTTATACAAATAAACTTGCAACACTGTATGGCAAGCCTCATTGTAAATGAGGACATTGCCTTTATTCAAGAACCCTGGATTGTTAATCAAGGGTCTCTGGTCTTGGGGGCACAAAAAGGGCCGTTTTCTTTGATACACAGCAAGAAAAATCTAGAATATGTCCTAGCCACCTTAAAGCTCTTCTGATGCTACACCTGTGTGGCCGGGATCTCACTACTATACAGTTAAACTGTGACATACAGAGTGAAGCTCAAGTAGTAATAGCATCGGTATATCTCCAAGATGTTTCTGTTAACCTACCTCCCAGTAAGGAGATGGCAGAACTGATAGAACACTGTGAGAACAACAATAAACACCTCATTATAGGGTGTGATTCAAATCTAGAAATTTTTAATCAGGGCAGGGAACCCCCACCTTCGTAACTACCAGACTGTGATTGATCTGCCATCATCGAGTATCTCTGACCACATAATGAACTGGCAAGTCACTTTAGAAGCGACTATGTCAGATCGTAGATTAATTTTATTTGAGCCGTCCAAAAGGGTTATAACAACCCTAAGGTAACGGATATTCCCCTTTACGAACATCTTGGATAAAAACTTGGAGAGCACCCTTTCGTGGGACGCTTCTTGGGTCCTGCTGACTTACAGGACAAAGTAGATCTTCTTACCAACTCCATTGTGCTGTCATTTGTGTGAGTCATGTCCTCCTATAACCATCCCTGGTGGTGCTCGAAAAGCAGAAAACTCAGTTGGGCAAAATGTTCTATAAGGCAAAGGACAGCAAAGCTACAGCCGATTGGGAGGCCTATAAGGTAAACCTAAGGTTATATAAGAAGGATATTAGAAGGCGTCAGAGAGAGGCATGGAAGAGTTTCTGCGCAGCTCTGTAGAATCCACATCCTCTGCGTCCCGCCTAAATAAAATTGTAACGAAAAGTTCAGATTATAACCCAGCTATGCTCAGACGGATTGTTCCTACACGGGCAACCTCTCAGAGACATTCGAGGTAAATCCAAAAAAGCAAAATGGGCTTTGTGACAAAGTCGTCGCGCAATTGGCACCCTTTGGAGGCCATTCCCAACGACGCGGCGGTCTTGTGGCTGTACAGTGTATACTGCCGTGACAGGACCTATGGCCTGCTATGGAGTAATTGTTTGGTGACCTAGAATCAGATTCTCCTAGCACTTCTTAACCATGTGCAAAGACTTGCTTGCCTCGTTTGCACGGGCGCGATGCAAACAACTCCCACAGTCGACATAGAACCCCTTCTGGGTCCGCTTCCACTAGATCTCCACGTGAGAGAACAAGCCACTGTGGCATTCCCGCGTCTGAAAGATAAGGTGTTGTTGAATAGCAGCAGTACTGAGGTGGGCGATTCTCGAATTCTGAGCGAGGCGATTGCATATTCTAGAAGGGTGATCGGGCTCACTCATTCCTCAATTCATATTAGGAAAAAACTACTACATTTTCTTGATGAGGATGTAGCATCCCTACCAGACATATTCATCTTCACGGATGGATAAAAACAATAGAAGGAACAGGCACTGGCATTTAAGGACTGAATTTTCATATCACTCAACCACTACGCAAACTTTCTACTGTATTCCAGTCGAGTTGGTGGGATTAACCCTCAGTGCAAGAAAAGTTCTTATGCATTTCTTAACTATCAGAATTCAGGGCTGTTCTGTAGGTAATTGGTGACTGTAAAATTACCTCTAGGTTGGTTTCCGTAAGTCACCATGCATTAGAGCAATCATCAAGAGGAACAACACCCTTGAGCTCGCATGGGTCAAAGCGCATGCTGGAATGGAAGGTAATAAGAAAGTAAGTGTTTTATGGTACATAGTCGGCTCTCCCACTAACCGCTGCAACTGTAAACAACGTAATAACTCAAGATACCCAAACCCAGTACATGGCTAGGTGCAAAATTATGTTAGATCGTCGCCATGCGAGGGAAGCCTTCAAAGGACCATCTCGTAGCCTGGCCTGTTTTTACACAAGGCTATCAAGAAAGAACCTCCTCTTCCAGCATCCTTAGGTTCATTTCACGTGCAGGATGGCTTGAGTGACGTTGAGGGGTTGAACGACTCTAGTCAGGGAGGTAGTACAAAGTGCCCGAATTTGAGGCCTAAGCACGCGTCGACCCTATCCACCCAGAATACAGACGGTAGAAGACTGGAAAAGCTAATAAAAGCGCAAGTACAGTATCCGCCAAAATAAACAGCTGTGAGAACTACGTAGAAAATATAATAACCTATATTGTCTTCAACTACAGCAGTCATGTTTTGCAAGTCTTCAACTACAGCAGTCATGTTTTGCAAGATCGTTATGAAGCCAGTTTGTGTCACAATGGTGCACACGTTGAGCATTTAAATTCTGTAAATCACTTTCAGTATTTATTTTGGTGGATACTGTATTTACAAGCCCCTGGAAAGCTTTATAGTTCTGTAGAACACTGTAGGAGCTGCTAAAAAGTTCTTGGAAGTTCAAACCAGTTCCTAAAGGCCTTGAAGATCCTTAAAAACAGTTAGTAATGTTATTTTTAAACTGTGGTATGTTCTGATTCAAGGACGCTAGATAATATAGGATTGTCAGATTACAGTGTACATTTTCGCCGTGTTGTGACGTCACTTGCGGACTGGGCCGCATGCTTTTGCTGTTAAAGCGCTTATTTTATTAGTTTTCCATCGATTTGTGCACCACTTTAAATTTAAATGTTTACATTGCTCGTATAGTGCAGTCATTAAACAATGAAACTAATGGTATACAATATTATATATTTGGAATTGGAAAATAAAGGGCTACTGAATACTGTAAAAATACACAGGGTGCCCCATTTAAGAAATAATAAGTATAATTCATATGCAGTTCAAAACAAGTGTATATGTTACTGTGAAAGTAATTAATGCAGCGCTTATTCATAATCGCCGGTAAATATGATAAATTTGGGTGCATTTCCTTTTAAAACTTTAGGCAAAGGGAAACATACTGCCATTTATGCTAAGAAAATATTGAATTTAAAGAAAAATCATTCCGAGGGCTGCTCAAAAAATGTTCCTTCCTTGAATTACTCACATTGACCGATTATTATAAATAATCGCCGCATTAATCACTTTGGCCGTAACATATACAGGTTGTATCAAATTTTTTGTTAAGTACAGAGTTCTCGCTTATTAGCGTATATGGAGATGGATAAAAATGATCTTCAAGTTATACGTAAATAAAATCAAAAAACAAAATGTACTTCCTCTATAGTTTCCTAAATGTGGCGAAAAATAAAATAATTGACGTTTTTGATTTTTGGATTTAACATTCATATTTGGGGAGGTATTTAAAAACCAAACAGGGAACTTTTTGTGTTCTTTTAGATGATACAAATGAATTTTCGTTCTCATTAATACTTTATTTTACATCGATACCAACTTTTGTTTTTCATATGGGGGTCATTTTAAAGATTTAGGTCAGCTAATAGACAAAAAATCCTGATTTCGAAAATGTAAAACTGTTCATAAAAAAGAATGTAAAAAAATAAAGAATAAAAAAAAAACATTTTGGCTCATAGTTAATTTGAACATTTATTATAGTTAAATTCGGGATTTATTAAAGAAATTCGATTGTTCATGCATATTGCTATATATTATTAACAATAACTAAAATGTTATTCGAAACGTTCTTTAAATTTTGAATTTTTTTAATATTTTTTATAGAAATGTAAACATAAACATGTTCGAAATTAGGATTTTTTTCTCTATTAGATGACCTAAATCTTTAAAATGGCTCCCCTATGAAAGTTGGTAACGATATTTTATAAAATAAAGTATTAATGATAACGAAAATTCATTTTCATCATCTAAGTAAATCTGGTTGATCTTCACAGCGCGCCAAGGATTGTTCACAGGACGCGGACCCGCATTTCGACTGGCGAAAGTATGCACGGAACCCATCGTGCCCTAACCCCAAGGAATGCGTGTAAATCGTGGTTTCTGAAACTCCTAGTGAAGCTGACCTTTAATCTTGAATCCTCCAGTACCAAACATTTGGATTTTTCAACAACATGTGAAGTGATTATGTCAACAGGGTGCAGCTGGTACTGGGGTCGTAACTCACACTGTATGATGTAACAGTGATTATCGTAATATGTAGAATTTAAATCCTAGGATTGACGCGAAAGTACAACCACAGATCCACTGTATCATGCCTCGTAAGATCCTGTAAGAGAGCGCGAGGGCGGTTGGTTTAATACTTCTTAGGTTTGCAAAATTATCGTTACATCTATTCTACAGTGTAAACAAATGCTATGTAAGGAGAAAGACTACTACAAATTTGCTAGCAAAAAAGAGTCCTCTTGCACACATTTAAAGATCAAAGGATATCCATAGTCCTCTAAATGAAGATCATTGTTAACATATGTCGTAACTCTCAGGAATGTGGTCCCTTAAAAGGTCTACAAACTTATCAATTGGACAGAAATGGTTACATCCAGGTACTATGATAGTTGCTGGTGGTTCCCCGTTGTGCGTTTCGTAATATATCTGAAATATCCGCGCTATCATATTAATTGCAATGGAACGCTTTCTCTTACTTTAAAGCCATAGTGACCATCGATGTTGTGAAGCTCAAACATAATGCAGGCGCCGTATGGTGGAATATGTCGGTTGAAGGCATTTAAAATCTTTAACATAAGAGCCACATTCATCTCATGCCCAGAAAATATCATAATTTTGCGTTTCGGTGGTTGCAACGTGCCATTAATTTTTTGCCTGGCCGCATCAAGAATTGTCTTCAAATTGAACCCTGTGCTACTTCGTAATGAACTCGGCATTTAGCACAGCATCTTTACCTTGCAATTTAGATATCTTAGGAGTGCTAGTCCATACCGAATACATGTCGATTGCCGCATCTCTCAGTAGCTTTGGATACACGGGTTTGACCCAATCTGGAAACTTCAAACCACACTCCTCCTAAAATAGACTTTAGTCAACAACGAACTGTCACACACCCTTACCTCAACTACGAGCCCAAAATACAGTATGTATAAATCGGTGAATCCTTTTATATGTAAACCGGTATTTTTGTTAAGGTAATTAAACCATTTTTTGTATGGGAGCAAGTATCGTTGACCTTGTAATGACTTTTCATATTCGGCTATTAGTTTGGATCTTTCGGCACATTTTGTGGGAAATCCCATACGCTATATTGCACAAAACACAATTACCTTCGATAAGGAAGGCTACGTCTAGGACTTACCAGGTCAGTATCGTTCAAGTAATTGTAAGGAATAGGTTGCCAATGCAATTCCTTATTCCAATCTAGTGGACCATTGGGTGGAAAAAGACTAGCCAAGACTAGTTCCAATGACATCTTTGTTCTGTTATAGTTTGTGGATAACGCTTCAACAACTTCGGGTGTGTACATCCCTACGAATTTACCGTAACGTTCGTATAGGGTTTTTCCAAGGTTATACTCTCTCATTTTTCCTTCCTGAAGATTCATAAATTTTGTAGTGCACCATAAGGGTTTGACTTACATTTGTTAGTTGACCCCATCCGTATGGCCAGTAGTCTAAGTGTTTGTATGGATCCTTTGGATAGGTCGCCAGTCTATCATTGGTCCGATCCCCGTGTCGGTGAAGCTAAAATAACAGGGAAACTTCTAAACTGTCTAAATTTGTTTCTTACAACAAAGACCATCTGTAAAGTATCATCTTCTATGTGTATACCATCAGCACCGATCCTTTGAGTCACTAGTAGTAATAGCAGTCCAAAAATCCGCATTTTTCTTTCTTATTGTGGCCGGCAGAAACTTTTGTATCATTATTGTTTAAATCTGTTTTTATACTAGAAACAACCGGATTTCTCTTTCCGCTTTTGCTTGCCTGCCGCTTGTTTTTCTCATTAATTAATTCTGAAATCAATTTCACTAGGTCTAAATCAACAAAAATATGTTTTTGCTCTAACGGGATCAATCTTAATCTCCATTTTTGGGGACAGAAGTTCTTCCTTTGCTCCTAAGAGATTAAATTCCCAATTAATTCCTTGGGATTAAAATATAATACAGTTACGCCTATTTTGTATGTTCGTGAAATAAAATGTTGCATTTGCTGAAAGTTAATACAAAGAAAAGTTTAGTTTTATTGTTTGACGTAATCTAATAACTGTAACCAACGTTACCGAATCCAATACTACTCGTATTTAGGCTGACTATAAGTAACTAACAGAACATCTCCCCTTTCAAGTTTAAAGTATTAATCAGGGACATAGTCCTTCAGATACGCAGGTAGTTTAACATATGTCTTTTAGGTCGGGACGGAGAAACACGAGGGGAAATGTTTAAAGGTCTATCGGGAGAGGTATTCGGAGCATTAACACTGTCAACATTATACTGGAAATCAGAATCAACACTTACTTTCGATTCACTGTTGCCCAGAAGCACTGATCTATTACTAGTTTAACATTGGTGCTTAGTAGGAGTGGTCTATGCTTGGTAAATCTTGGTTTTGGCCAATTACAAATCTCATGCGTCATACCCCTTTTCATAACTTTTTCTCGATTTTATTTGAACCAAATAGGTGATCAGTTAATTTGCAGCATCCTCAATTGTACATAAGGTTGTAGTAACGTCTTTATGCTCTTCAATAATAAATTACCGGTAAATATTTCGGTTGCGATTATTTTTTAACATGGCGACCGTTATTTACAAATTACCTTGACTATTCAATTCATCTAACATTTGTCACATTTCGACCAGTGAAATGTCGAGATTTCAAATTGTTGAGCCAATGGGAACGAATTATAGTGACAATT